TATGTAAATTGCCCAACCCACGCAGGTTAATTGTTTACAATTGTATATACACGTTGGAACGTTTTAAATTGCGCGAACCCGATTTTAATGGAGAGACAATTACCCTCCACTTGGAAGTTCATCTATAAATGTTTGGCCTTTTTCTTTTCAATGTTTTTCAATGTATTCCATTTGATTCGCGTTGTCCAAGTAGAGTTTTCGTCCACACTTGTAAATGTCATTGGTTGCATCTCCTAAATGTTTCCTCTCGGCCAGAATATAGTTATCTATAAACAAGCTGTTTTATTTTTGTTTAAGAATTTTTATAAACTATCGTTTCATTTATGAACCATTTAAATGAGTAATAGTAAAACCAAATGTAGTTTTTGTATACAATTTATGGTTTTTTGTAACTAATAAACAGGTAACTGGGCCCTATATTAACTTGGTGAAACAACGAGAACAGAGTATAGAAACAACGCCACACCTGTTTTTGCATCGCATGTGGAGATTCAATGAAATTCTTGACCAATGAAACGTTAAAACCTGCAACTACAATATGCCATGGCAAAATTATCGGCGGTTCGGGTGTATATAACTTGGCTGTTCGCGCGAATCACACGTCGTGAAAAAACAAAAACGTCCGACACGGAAATTTTACGTACTTATACACGCATAGTAAATCGCATCGGAATAATCATCGCGCAGTTTTCCTCTCGTTCTTTCTCCGTAACCTTGAGCTCCATAGATACCCGCGAGAGCGGCGCATGAAACTCTTGCGATAGCCGGCGCTCATTGTTTACGCTTTCGAGTTTCTAACGCATGTTAACGCAACCGGCCGTTTTTCAAAGAAACGCAACGGTTTGCGCAACCACCGGCGGGAAAAATAAATGAACCCGCAAAAATTGCGAGGGCACGAAAAAATCGTACCTATACGTAACGATCACCCGGTCGCTGTACCATACACTTTGGGAACGGAACGGGAAAAAAATTCAAACGGACATTAATATTTTCCCAGCAAACGAGCCGCAAAAGAAATCTAAATCGACGGGTTCAAGGGGTCAGTCGGTTAAGTTTAGAAAATCGCGCAGATTAGCCGTACGGAGGTCGCATATATAAGAGCGCGACGAACGGACAGTCGTTAGATAGTAATTGGTGTTCCGTGACAACATGAAGATCCTACGTACGCTCTGCCTCGTCCTGTTGGCCGTTGTGCTTGTCGTTGCTGGTGTACAGGCAGCTGGCTGTAAGTGTATCGTATATTTTTTCGTTGTTTCATGAAAACAAAAAAAAAAAAGAAATTCTCTTGCAATGTTTTTTCTTCTTTTCCCCTGTTGCAGTGACTTGTAACGAAAAAGAATGTCAGAAGGCTTGCAGCCACGTTGGCAACATTCCCGGCGGTAAGGGCGGAAAGTACTGCGTTGACGGCAAATGCAGCTGTTACCTGACCAAGCCTTGATATTTGCGACCAATCGAACCGTCCAAGTTTTTCTTGACTATTGTACCGCCAACTGGGCTGCACTTTTTTCCCTTCAAACAACGTAAATTTCATACTATTTGAAAACATGTCATCATCTTACCACATGGGCACTCTTATATTATACCATTATCACTTTGGGTCACGGAAGAGAAACAATATTCGCAACTCGCGCGCAATCGTACAACAATTGCCCTTCCGGGGATAATGTAAATTGTGTACTTTGTGCCAGTGGTGCGAAATGTACATACATGTGTCATTATCTTGACGACTGTGTATTTCATCGATGTGCCAAACACTGAAATAAAAAAATGTTTTTTCATTCGCTCAACTTTTTCGTAAATTCAATTGAAATCGCACGAGTCACCATTTGTGTATAAACATCGAAAATCAGACATCAGTTCGTGATGACCCAATTGCCTGGATCTGGAATGGAGCAAGTGTTTCATGTGATTGAATGATTTTTTTTTTTTTTTTTGGTTTTTATAGCTAATTTTCCATATATATACTTGAATATATAAAATAATTATTCGGCAGATTGACTAAATTTTCTTTAACTTGAAAGACAGTAGTACTCAGTGGAACGAAGGGGTTAATATAACGGTTTCAATTTTCTCGCAGTAAGTATTGATAAATTCCCTTGGCTAGGAACAATCTGTAATCTTGATTTGTCAAAGAACTTATCAACGTAAAAAAAAAAAAAAAAAAGTTCCTGTATCGACTCATTTCGTCTCTACTCGTACATTTAGTTTGTATCGTTTGGCTTTGGAACGATTACGAGAAACTATACGTTTGTATCGTTATATCGTTTGAAACTTTGAAGCGAAAGTTTTCCACCAAACTACACACGGAACACACATTGAAAACTTTTAATGCTTCTCCGTATCCCTCGAGCTTTTTCCTCTCTCACACAGAATAATTAGTTATACGAACGATACAGGAAATGAAGTATTATTCGCCACGAGACTCATCGCCAAGTATATTTACACAAGTGACGTAAGTGGGCAAGTTAATTGAACCTCTTTTGAATTGAAAGCGAAGACAACGTCACGCAAGTTTGGGAAAAGTAACGAAACGAAGTCTACTTTATTACACGCACATGCGACAAGACATGAAAAAAAAAATCGAGGCGGAGCTTTTTATATATGTACTAAGAGGTAAAAGTGAAAAAAAAAGAAAAAAAAACCCATAGGTGATCCCATTAGTAACAGTATAGAGTACTTGAGCAACGGGAGGATGAGCTTTCAGAGGTAAGCGCGTTGCAGCAACTCCCGAGCTTTCGCCAAAGAGTAACTGGATTTATTTTAAGTACAGTAGGGAAGCAGCATTACAGTAGCCGTACGAAAATAGGTTTTCACGCCAGCGAGAGATTACTGTACCAGAGACTCTCCCTCGTCCGCCCATAGCGCGTCACCTCGGCTCGTTCCTATACGTATCCAGATTCTCTCGCGAAGCTCCAAATTCGAGTAATGGCGCTCAACTTTTTACCTCGACTTTGCCTCGGACTACTCGCAGTTTGTTTGTCCACGTACGGTGCGTAGTATATATATATAAGCACCAAGGCGTTGTTTAATCGTGCCAATTGTGGGTAAAGCACGCCGATCAGAAGTTTTATTCGTTGTTTTTTTTTTTTCTCATTTCAGCCTTCGCAACCGCTTTACCCCAGAACGGACCGATCGGGTGAGTCATTTCGTTTGAGTTTTTTCATTGTGCTTCTCCATACGAGTGCGACCGATTAGTGATAGTGCCTTGCAGTTTTTACTTGCGTGAAAAGGGTTTTTTTTTTTTTTTTCATAAGGAGGAGCATANCGTTCTCCGGGAGGAACTTTGTCAAACTCAAACTTCCTTCTCTCCCTACAAATTGTCTATATTTTTACTTGATCGAAAACACCCTAATGGCTCTCTATTCTATGGTAAAACGTCCCGAGGGGATTTTTTGATAATCATTCGTCATCCCCTTCTCTCTCTCTCTCTACAACAATGTCACGAGCAGTAAAAGTTTCGGGTTCCCGTCCATTAATGAATAATGAACTCGATCCCTTTTTAACGTGTAATTATTTTCCACACGGCGCGGCCCTTAAGTGGATTTCAATGTCGAGGAAGGGAACATTCGAAACCCAACAAATACTTGGCGGTGGAGGGGTCCTTCGAACTTTGTATACATTATTAAATTACCTAATGGTTATACCAAAAGGCAAATCGTAAAGCAGCGCGGCTTAATCTCTCGCTCTCTCGAACCAATTAAACGGGCGGTAAAAGGATTGTAAGTACGGGCGCTTCCGGATATTGTACATAGTCGGAGCGGGGGGAAAGGGGGTTTTTTTTTTTTTTTTTTTTTTTTTTCTTTCAACATGCCTTACCATGAAAATCCAATGATAAATTTTTGTTGTACAACGACAGACAAAGAATACCAGTATTGTACGAGGCTTACTACCCGGAGCCACGGCAATGGGTGAGTTGTAACAAAATATAATTTCATCAACAATAAAATCAGGTCAGCCGGAGCGGCCGCGAAACAAAAGTCATGAGAGATAAACAGCAACATAAATCGACCGATTTTCCAGAATCCGCGGACGAATTTCCAAGAGATCGAGCGTCTGCGCGAATTGACCAGTCAATTGCTGCGCGTGGAGGACCAGCTGGCCGCTGGCTACGTTTTCCCCGAAAACGCTCCGGCCCGTTTCCCGGTGGAAGCCCCGGTTGGGCCGGCCCCTCGGGTCGACGATAAAGTGCAGGTTGCGTCGCTCACCATCAGCGACGTTGGGCCCCAGCACAAAACTCGTCACCACCACGGACAGGCCAACTGGCTGCTCAGACGGCTCGCGCGCTCGCCCAATACTTACTGAAATTTTGTTAACCACCCACGTGTTGTACAAACATCATTGTTTATGGGCTCTGGTATACAAGACGCGTAGTTTTTTTTTTTTTTTTTTTTTTTTACTTAATTTTTTCTCGGGTTATCTGCACTTTTCTCTGCTTATTAGCGGCGCACATGTATAACGCTCGAGATGGTTTTTTTTATTTTTTTTATTTCATTCATCAAAGTGTACTTTGGTCGTTCACGTTTTGAAAATGTGGTGTAGGACGCTCTACGTTTCTCTTATCTCTAAAGAAGAAGGAAAAATAAAAAAATTAATTTATCGTCTGCCGACTCGTCAGCCTCTCTGTCGGTTTTATCGGTAACTTTGAAAAATTCACCAGTGTGCTGTCGGGGCGTGCGTTAAACATTAGAAAACTCGCGATAATAACTCAACTACGTTTCATCTATACATATATTAAACTCAATATAAAAATGAAAAATATCTTTTTTGTACATTCCATCACCAATATTTTATTAGAGACACAAAATTTATGTCGTTTCGAAATATACAGAGATTTGAAATTATACAGAAGCGTTATAAAACAAATATAAATATTGTAATACTTTTTTAAAGGCATGAAGTAAATTGATTAAAATTAATATTAGAAGTGTGATAAAAAAATAACTATGTATAATTATATATGTATTGAAAACAATAAAAAAATTGTAGCAAAAACAAAAAAAAAAAAAAAAAAGAACATACCATATTTACAATATTTTCAAACATTTGTTTTTCTTTACATTCTCTTTGTCGGTTTACATGTTTCTACGTGTTTAAAAATGCGTGCTTTTTCATATAATGCAATAGTTGATAAGTAATCAAGTCGGTTGTTTTAGATAAATTATCGTTTACATATTACTTTGAAGCGTGAACAGAAGCGTTTTAATTGCGGAAGCACGATAACTGCAAAAGGTTACGAACTCAAGATTGTTAAACTAAAAGAAATTAAGTAACTCTTAACTCTTTAAAAATAAAATATTTTTTTCCAGTTAATGGTTCATTTACCGTATTTTTTTAATGTAGTACGCGTTTCATTCTATTGCGAAATTTCTCGCAGACTATACTTGAGAAGTTCTTTGAAAAATAAAATATCAAGATACAAAAACAAAGTTTTAATACTTATTAATTTAATCAAACAGATTTTTTTTATGTTGGGCATCTCAGTTACTTATTGCTTCGTTATCATTATTACTAGAACTAGTCAAACTGATCATGATTTGTAAATTTCATCATTCAGTAGATTAAAATTACGTATTTAACATTTGTTAGTTATTCTATACTAGTTACTTCTACACATTTAAGAATACTCGATACCATAAAACTTAAATATCTTACATAGATTGATGTCAGAGTTGATTCCACCTAGCGATTGCAATGCAAATTATCACAACTTGAGGATTAAACAAATTCAGAAAATATAAAAATCATTATTTCAAGCTGTAAATGCAAGTTGATTTGTAAGCGACTACGAGGTGCTTTTGCATACATTTCATGCTATTTGTTGTCTTAATACTTAAACCTTTCATTTGTGTTTTTACCGCGCGCTGTCTCTCTTATAGTTACAAGCTTTTAGCTTGTGAATAATTTCAATCTAAGTTGGCACTTACAATAAATTTTAATCAAGGTATATGTGTACCCTAAAATAATAAAAATTTTTTTTTTAAATATTGATTATAAGAAACATTAATTAAAAAAGTTTGAAAAATACCTACGTTCCTACTGAATTTGTTGGCTAGATTCTTTCATTATAAAATCTCTGAGCTTTTCGTATGCTTTATCAATGTTGTCATTTATAACTACCAAATCGAAATTACCTGGAGTTTCACCTGTAACACCAAAGTTTGAGGTAAATGACCTATTGGTTGTATAAATATTCCAAGATACTAGCTACACTAACCAAATTCAATTTCTGCCTTTGCAGAAGATAACCGTCTTTGCATGGAATCATTAGTTTCAGTTTTTCTACCAACTAAACGCTTTTCCAATTCTTGAATTGATGGTGGTTTTATAAAGATAAACAAAGGATTGAGAGAGCTTTTTTTGATTTGCTTCACTCCTTCAGTTTCTATGTCTAATATGCAAATTTTTCCAGATTTTTGAACATCTTCGACAGCTTTTTTACTGAATTTATCATTAGTTCAGTGAGTGGGAAAAAAATAAAAGCAATGAGAATTCATATACTTTTGTTCCATATGTACCTTGTTCCATACATGTTGTTGCTGAAAACCGCGGTCTCGAGGAATTCTCCTCTATCAATTTGTTCCTGCATCACCTCTTTGGTTGTAAAATAATAATGCTTTCCATGTTCTTCGCCAGGTCTTGGCTGTCTAGTCGTATGAGACACGGAGAAACCAAATTTATCTGGATACTCGTTAAACAGCAATTTTATTAGTGTACTTTTTCCACTACCAGATGGTCCACACAGTATTATAGGTCTAGGACCTTTTTGAAGCATTGTGGAAAATCCTAAAATAAACAATGGATGAGCCAACTGTCTTTTTCGTAAATACTTGTTATTGTACACAAACATACAAATAGGAATGTGATGAGTGAAAAAAGAAAGTGGAAAAAAAGTAAATGAAAAATAAAAAAATAAAAAAAATAACAATAAAAAACAGAAAATAAGTGCAATTAAAAACATATGAAACATGAAAAATAAATAAAAAACCAGTGGTACCTATTCTGAGTGCTTTAGAGCACAATGGTATTTGCGCACACATTAGGAGTTGCATTTTAGTAGTCTTGTATTTATTGCTCTTATGAAAGTAATTTTGTAATATATTAAGAATAACACTCTTCCCACGTGACAATATCCTTAAAACCTGATAAAAAATCATAATGAAGGTACTCAGCTGGTGATCATCTGCTGTATTCAATAACAATTGTCTATCACGAAAAAAAATAATCATGATAAAATCGATTTTTTTATATATATATAATCAGTACATAGCAAAATTGAAATCCCCACGTTGTTAAGCGCATACACGGGTATATGTATAATAATAATATAAACGTGCTAATACTGAGCCATAAAATTAAGACTTCCCTTAACGAATGCACGCGGGATGAGAAAAAATATAAAGTGTTTTATTGACATATCGTACACATAAGTATAATGGATACAAGTGAGATGATGATCAAATGAGATTGATTGGGCTCCTCCTTTAAACTACACAAAACATGCGTTACACCACATAATATTTACTCCACACGTAAGTTAAGTATATACTTACATATGTTCTTGAGAAAATAATAAACAACAGATAACACTTTGATTAAAAAAAAAAAAAAAAAAATTAATACCTAACATGTGTCATTCCAGAATAAAATTTTTCAACAAACAGAACTTGAGAAGCAACATGAAGCGGTGATTGTCGAGTATACGGTAGCTCGGTTTCAGTGAGAGATAAATACGTAAACAAAAAATAGAGTGCGGGACGGATAGAACAATTGTGATGGCATGCGTTGACGTCGTACTTGTTAAGTTGTATAGGTATAAAGGTAGGAAAAGAAAAAGCGCATCGTATCACAAAAAAAAACCATAATGCCGGCTTTCCCTCGAACTCTTCTCGCGAGCAATTCATGCAGTTTGTTTTCAATGCATGTAAGTTAATGCAAGTATACGCGTGTATATACGAATATTAATAGCGGAAAAGCCCGGGAAGCTGGTTTCTCTCGTTTGCAAGCCATGCGAATATACATGTACGTAATGTAACTCTCTTACCTTGGCAAGCGAAGGCGGCTCTCTGAGACGCGTACACGCAGCTGAGCGGAAGAAATGTATGCTCCTCTGCTTACGTTTTTTCTTTATCTGATAAGTTGAGGTTTTTTTTTATTTGCAGCCGGAGAGTTGCTGACCATAAGCTGCTCCAAACTCCAAAGTCTCCAAACTCCGAACACGCTTAGGTTGACTGATCATCAGCTGCGCTGAATGGATATACATTTTGTGTATAGTGTGTGTCCGTGTGTGACGCGCATTGCGCAATTGTACAAACACAAATGTAGGCGCGAAACACAGGGTGTGTATATCGGTGTACGTGGCGTATTGGCGGGCTGATGGCGGCGCGGCGCACAATCGATTTTCGTGATTGAGATTGAAAAGTATGCCAGTAGTAGTGATCAATGTTTTCTTTATTACATGAGTCAAGAAGTAATGTATCTATTCTTTTTTTTTTTTTTTTTTTTTTTTTTTTTACTACAAAGTACTAGCACTAATACTTTTTTATAGCTAATTTTCCATATATATACTTGAATATATAAAATAATTATTCGGCAGATTGACTAAATTTTCTTTAACTTGAAAGACAGTAGTACTCAGTGGAACGAAGGGNAAAAAACTCAAAAGTAATGGAAGCTTATTAAATTTTTTTTTTTTTTTTTTAAAAAAAAAAACGTAATTTTTTTTTTTTTTTTTTTTTTTTTTTTTTTTTTTTTTACTACAAAGTACTAGCACTAATACTTTTAAATAGAACCTTTAAATAGAAGAAACAAGCACATGAGCAAACCTTCAAGCACTTACGCTGGTCACACTCTTGTCACAGTCCTTATTTTTTAATTCAATCAACTCCAGTTCATAGTCAATGGATAATAAAGAATTTACGCGTTCCTATTTTACATTTTGAATGCTTAAATCATTGTAGTGCTGCATAAATAAATTTTTTTTTTTTTTTTAAAGGAAGGGCTCAAAGAGCGACAAATTACGCGCTTAATATTATCATCACTTTGCAACATATATTTATTATATAATACCTAAAACATTCGATAAATAGTTTTACATCTCATTTTTTTTCTCATTTTCATATAATATTACTTTGATCAGAGCGTGAGTATACCGAAAGTAGGTACATACACAATTATTTATCATAACAACACAGAAGACTTAGTAATTTTGACTCGTTATTTTGACTATAATTGTAATTTTTGATAGTTATCCACAAGTATATTGTTCATTCAACATTGATATACATGTACTTTAATCTAACTATAGCTTAGCAATTTGTTTTTTTTTTTTTTTATTCAACATCTTTTGCACGTGATTCCTGTATAAAAATATACGTGTGTATAAACTATATGATTCATAAGAAATTTTTTTTATGGCTTTTTACGTGTTTGAAAATTTGTCTATCTACAGTTTTGACTATCTTTGACAATCTTAAACTTTGTTTTAAATCCATTACATTTTAAATAGTAATAGTTATAAATATTTTTTATTAAATATAATAATTGATTTCAAGTTAAGTTGACATTTTTTTTATAAATACGCTTAAGATAATAGTAAAGCTTGAAGGCAAGACAGTTACAAATTTTTACAACATGAATATGTTTCAATTTTGAGGATAGGGCAGTAAACTATTAAATTAGCAATGCAACAATAGTAAGATTAATTTTCTTTTGTTGTTGTTAAAATTAGTGCACATCACTAGTCTAACAAAAAAAATTGAACTGTTTATTTAATGCGTCGTAATATTAGCATTTAACTGTGAAATTGTGATAACAATGAAATATAAAAACACATAACTTTCATTACAAAAAAGGCATAAGTGCCACACTTAAAAACTATGATATTTTTCTATGATCATACAAATGTATAAAGACATATTTCTCTCTCAGACACACGTTGAAAGCAGAAGTAAAAAATAAATATCACATATTATTGAAATTTAAATTTAAATCAAATAAAACTCTATCAAGTCTTTGAGTAAAAAAATAGATAAAATAAACCTACTGCGAGTAACTACGCTGGACTAATGAAGGCAACAAGCACGTGATTGTGCAAAATGACGACAGCCATATCGCCAAAGCTTTTAAATTCCGTTTGATTAAAAGTTTGTGTATTAAATGGCAAGAGTCAACAATCAGTTTCAAACGCGGATGTTAGCCGATATTTTAGCTTGGGTTCTGCGCCGAGCCAGTTCAGACATTACAACTGGACCAACGTGGGGCATTCTCGGGCTATTTGACATGGCTTGGTACGTTGCAGCTACGGCATTCTAAAATATGAATGGTTAAAAAAACATACAGTAAACAACGTTTGGCGGAAATTTGATTTTTTCATATGCGTACCTTAACGGTAACGGGATCTTTGGTAATGTCGGGCAACAAGTTTGGCGGAAGGCGATGCCTATTAACTATCCAAGGATGTTTTAATATATTCACTGCAGTTGGCCTTCGCGTCGAATCAACGTGCAGCATACGTTTAACTAATTCTTTGGCCTCGGGAGAAATTTGACACCATACGCCACTTTCTATGTCTATATAACCGCGTCCGATACGGTCTAAAATATCGTTCGCCGTGTCTCCGGGAGTGTTGGGGAACGGTATGCGACTATAAGTTGAAGAATCGATCAGTTAAAGTAACCATGAAAAATCAATATTACGAAAACTCACCCCGACAGCATGATGTACAACAAAATTCCTAGTGACCAGATGTCACAAGCGGCGTTGTATCCTTGACGCTTTAATACTTCAGGAGCAACGAAATTTGCTGTGTAACAGGGTGTCATGAGGAGACCATTTTCCGCTCTCAATTGTTTAGCAAATCCGAGATCGCAAATACATAATGTGGCCGGATCGAAACCCGGCTTGGCGTATAAAATATTTGATGGTTTAATATCACGATGAACAACCTATATGTTTCAAATTTTTTCAATTACAACATCGATTCAATATCAATGCAAGATAAAATATGTAGTTTTTCAATCGTTACCCCGTTTTCATGCAGATATTGCACAACACTAGCTATTACATAGGTAACTTCGGCGGCTTCCGCTTCCGTAAAATTACGACGTTGCAACATTCGATCGAGAAGTTCGCCGCCTCTCAGTAACTCCAATACGAGATAGACGTGCCTCTCGTCTTCGTGCAAAGCTTTTAACGTAACGATATGAGGATGACTACCATATCGCAATAAGATTTCTATTTCCTCCGTGGGGTCTCGCTTTTTCCTGTCAATAACCTGTAAATTAAATTTAAACAACATGTAAAAAGTAAGTTTATACACTCATTTTAATCATCTATTGTGTCACACCTTAATAGCATATTCTGTTTTCGTAGCTTTATGAACGGCTAAATAAACAGTGCTGTAGCTTCCTTTTCCTATTTCTTGTTTGAAATCATATTCTTCGGTAATGCAACTGGTGTTGACATACGTTGGGAAGCTTGTTGCTGCACTGTCGTTTTGGTTGTTATCAGCAAAAGTTTCCATACTATCGAGGAGACATGGCGCAACGTAACTAAAACCTCGGAACAATTCGTGAGCTGTTGCACTTGGTGGTACTCCGGGAGAATCTAATTTAATATAAAAAAAAAACTTATTTTTGTTTCTCTAATCAGTGGAATGTTTTTTAAAAATACTCTCGAACAAATAACCTTTAGGTGTTTTGCACGTGAATTCGCTATCGAAATAAAATGCGTCATCTTCTTGACTGACAGCTGGCTTAAAAGGTGGTTTAATTTCCTTTTTGTACAATTTTTCCCAATTGATAGTTTGAAAGAAAACGTGATTTTTTATTTCCTCTATGCCTTCTAATAAACATAAAAATTGATTAAAATTAACGCTATAAAATTACGCGATTTTGTGAGCTAAAGTATGCTTAATGAAAAATGAGCTCACTTGAACCTAATCTGTTTGTAGGGTTTCTTTTAAATAAAACACGGAGAAGTGCCTGTGCTTCTGGCGAAATTTCTTGTGGCATACCTAGTTTGGCTTTAAGGATTTGCGTCATAGTATCTTTACGATTGGCTCCTTGGAATGGCAATGCCCCAGTTAGCATCTCAAACTAAAAAATTATGAAAACGTATACATTTTAAATTATTTTTATAAAATTATTGCTTGGATTAAAAAAAAAAACTTTACGAGTACCATTAAGACACCAAAACTCCACCAATCGGCAGAAAATGAGTGTCCTTTTCTATTAACAATTTCAGGAGCCATATACTCTACTGTACCGCAAAATGAATATGTTTGTGTATCATCTAAAGGCTGTTTACTCAGTCCAAAATCTGTCAACGCAATGTGACCTTCTGTATCCAGTAATATGCTACAACAAAGAATCAGTTCTTATATCTGCAATAATTAGTAAGAGTTAAAGAAATTACTCACTTTTCTGGTTTTAAATCTCTATAAATAATTCCCAGACTATGTACATGGTCCAAGGCAAGTGCTAGTTCTGCCAAGTAAAATTTAACATCCTCTTCTGTAAACATTAGCTGCAACAAAGTTATTCATTAAAATTGGTATTGTTATTCAATATAGTTGTATACATATGTGTGTGTGTGTGTGTATCAGCATACCTGCTTGAACAACCGAGAGAACAAATCACCACCTCTTAAAAAATCTAGGATAAGGTACAATTTTCCTTCTGTTTGGAATGCATAGTGCAATCTAACTATAAAAGGATGCTCTACATCCACTAAAATATTCCTTTCCATTTTTGTCCTCATTCTATCACGAACTGTAAAAAAAGTAAATTGCCAGATATGTATGTTTTGTAAGTTTAAAAATACATTTTATTGATTTATACCTTTTAGTGTAGCTTTCTTTAATACTTTCATTGCATAAAGTGTTCCCTTATCTTTTCCTACTGTTTTTCTCACCAGAAATACCTAATTGTTGGCATATTATAATCATATGAAATTCGAGGAAACAGAACTTGTCATGAGCATAATAAATGTTATTACCTTGCCAAAGGAGCCTTGACCCAGGACTTTCAAAAGTTCAAAATGCCTGGGTTCAGCTTTCTCGTGACCTTCTCTAACGACATCTTTAACTTCAATTTCATGAGACTCCGAACAGCCATTTGAATGGGCTTCTATGGAGTTTCTTGGGAGCATATTTTCTTCTTGGCTCTCTGCAGACAATATTTCTGAGCTCTGCTATTCAAGAAAAATTATTAACACTTTTCATAACATACAACTGTAAATGTACATTATATTTCAAGAAGAAAAAATACATGAAAGAAATTAATGACTTTAGACAGGATATTAACAAATGTGTCTCATTAAAAAAAAAAAAGATTAAAATTTGCAAGTAGAAAATTCCTTAAATGAGTAATAAATAGAGCAAATTTACGTTGTCAGATGAAAAAACTGTACCTTTTCATTAGCTTGCTGATGATTCCAAGGTACTGTGAGTGTGGCTAAAGGCATTTTGTTAGATGAGAAAAAAGGAAAAATCAAGTGCTTGACTTTCAAGTACGTGTAGTTAAGAACAAAGCCAGCGAGAGAAAAATGTATCACTATTGTCGTCACATTTAACCACGGGCCACGCTTATATGAGTAATCTGATGGAGAGGTGGTGGTGGGTGGGCACCTACTAGGTACTCGATGATTGTACTTCACTTTTCCAATAAGTAATAATACACAATCTGTTGAATCGTGGACCAGCACAATTTCTATAGCTGAATAGCTCCTCCTTGTTTTCTATTTCTATACACAACTCACCATCACTCACACACTGTAGGTGTGTTCGTGAGAGTAAAAATTTTACCACAGGCGCCTTCACTGCAGCGACAAGAAGCCCGAATAAACCATGACACAAATCAAAGAAACTTTTGTTGAAACTTGAAAACATTTAAAATCAACTGATTCAAATGTATTATTTTATATTAACGTGGATGTATTTAATGCGTTCGAATTCTATTGTTCATTAACTCATACACATTCGGTCAAACAATTTTTTTTTCTTTTTCTAGCCGACCCGTTCCTCAATCATTCGCTAAATTTTCGTTTTTGCAGCCCGTTGCTCGAAAAAAAAAGGTCCTGATTTGATAAGCGGACAATTGTGTATTTTGAACATCAATCATTCTAAATTGTCGTCGTTATTTGATAATCTTTAGTAATTATATTTTTTTAACATCTACGCAATATATGTTTTACTTGTGGGGGGGGGATATTGCTGTGGACTAATCAAGTTTTCGGCAAAATTAAGTACCATGATAAAATTACTTTGAACATATGGGCCCAACAAACCCTCTCCTCTGTCGATAAATTCACGTATACTACATACTCTACCGCTGTACCGTACCGCGGTATTATACGCGTGTTATATCTACCTATAATCTACGCGCATATCGATTGTGTTGTTCTGTCAGTGCAGTCTTTTGTGTCTTTTTTTTACGGACACGACGTGGAGCGCAGTCACGATTCACGATTAGGAGTATTAGGACGATTAGGATTAGGTAAAGAAAAAAAAAACTCGTGTAGTAAGTATACTACAGGTCGGGATTTTACCCAACATTCAACGACGCAAACGATGCCACGTCAATAAAATCTACTGCCCGCGGTCTTGCTCATATCATGGCTTGCTCATTACTGAAGGCTAGTGTCATTAGCGTTATCGTAACAATACTTTTAATCAATCATGTGGAAGGAAACAAATACTCGGAGGCGGCTAATAAACCGAAGAAGAAGCCCAAGACCGAATTTTCACCTCCTGATCATATCAAAGAATTGAGGCAGCTAGACAAGCCCTTTCGCATGCACAAAATCAATTTGATTTGGACCAAAGCTAAACACGTTAGTTAAATATAAGCATTTGTTTATCTTTTTTTTTTTTTATCTTTATAAAAGACAGCAGCAGACGATAATTTCGCGTTTTTGTTTACATCAGAGATTGACAGATGTCAAATTGCAATCACTTTATAGCGATTTGAGGATTCAAGATAAGGAGGAGATTGCTTACAAGCATTATAAAAGTGATGGAAAGGACGAGACTGGATTGGAAGAAGCTAGATTGAGGAAAAAACTCAAAAGTAATGGAAGCTTATTAAATTTTTTTTTTTTTTTTTTGAAAATATTTGTATAATGATAAAATTATTTTGTCAGATACAATGCACACTTATGGCTTGCTCGAACACTTCGAGGAGATTACCGAACCTGAGTATCTAAAGAAACCTAAACTACACAAAGATAATAGTAATTACGTTGCCAAAGATGTATTTAGAGATAAGAGATTAAATCAATTATGGGCCAAAGCTGAAAGAGGAGGTTTTACTCGTATGTCGATGTTTGCGATACATTTTTTAATATTGAATTTTTTTCCAAGTTTAATACATGAAATATTTTTTCAGATGAAGAACTAGAAACTTTAAAAGAAGAGTTTGACCACCATCAAGATAAAGTAGATGAATACATGAGTTTACTTTCAGAAATCGAAGCTGGAGATCCTGATAAACATGAAAGTAAGTTATATTTACTACAAAATGTTTAAGAAACTTCAACTACAATAATAAATGACAATTTTGTTTTAATGAAACAGATAGTCTTCATGATAAACCTGATAGCTGGAACGAAATCGAATCAGCAGAAGAACAAAGTAATGATATTCCAGGGAATAAAAAAGATTATTTGTCTAAAGCCAATATGTTGAAGTAAGTCAAAAAAACTGGTTCAATTTTTTAATTATCGCAAGTGTTTTTCATCAATTTTTTATTTTATTTCAGAAATATGCACTTGGATCTTAGGAGCCAGTATGATCACTTGGAGGGAATAACTTCTAAAGGACCTGGGTACAAGGAATTTGTAGAGCCTAAAGTTCAACTCCTTTGGAAAATGGCGCTAGAGGCTAAATTTTCTCACCAAGAATTAGAGTCTTTAAAGGTAAGAAATGTGTTTAGAGTTGTATTTGTTTTATTTTATTTTTTTTCTCATAAAAACTTAAACATTCTTACAGGAAGAGCTTTTACACTATGAAACTAGACTTATAAAACTGCGTCAAATGCATACCGATGCAGCATTAGAAGCAGCAAGACAAGGAAAAGACCAACCTAATGATACACATATCAAAAGGCATGTATTGAGCGTGGAAAAGCTTCACAACGAAATCCAAGATAAAATTCTGTCAAAGCATACCGAACTTTAAGATACATTTAATGGTGCAATACACATATTGAATTTTATTTTTTATATTTTATAAATATTTAATAATGATAAGTTAGGCCTATTTACAAGAGAGAACATACTGTTTACGGAATCTTTTTGAATATATGTTGTTTTCTACTTTTTTATTAAATATTTAAGTACACTAATTTGTAACTGAATCGAACAAATGTCTTGTGATAATAAATAGCTCAGCTCACACAGCACACTTGAACCGCTTTTTCAATCGAAATTCCAATAACCCAATCTGAACGAAACAACCACGTAGGTATTTTGTTACATCAATATTTCCTTGGCAACAGAAGCTGCTTTCATGAATCTCACCGTATATAAAGCCAGCACGTGAGCGTTGAGGTTGTTTAAAAAAAAACTACCGAACCACCCAAGTTTTAATTGTCTTCTACAATTAGCGGACAATATCCATTGCCACCATGGCCACGGCGACGTCGGAGAGAATGATCCCATCGATGGACACTTTGGTGAAATACGACAACCCCGTAGCAGTGACCACACGACCCGAAAAAGTAAATAAAAACATGTAAATCCTAACATGTTGTTGCACGAAAAAGTATCCGCGTTTAACGCAAGTGTGTATCAATCACTACAGGCAAAAGAACAGGGCCCGAGCAAAGCCGGTCCTTCGGCGTGCAAGCTCCAAAGCACGGCTGTTTCTCCAGACGTGCGCAAGGAAACCATGGAAGTGCTTAATGCCATATTACCCTCCCAAGAGTGGGAGGACGAAGGGCAGATTTGGAAACAACAGGTGAATAAGTGTACATATACTATATTTCGTCCAATGGGGCACTTGTTGGCACGTGATTGTTGCGGTGTTCTTGCAGGTCTCGAGTACACCGGCAACGCGAATCGACGTGATAAATCTGCAGGAGCAACTGGACATGAAACTGCAAGCTCGACAGGCCCGGGAAACCGGTATCTGTCCCGTACGAAGGGAACTGTACACGCAGTGTTTCGGTAAGGCCCATTTCACCCAAGGAGAATCAGCTGTATAATTATTTATTGGCAATTTACAGACGAGATCATAAGACAAGTGACGATTAACTGTGCCGAGCGAGGCTCGCTTTTGCTAAGGGTAAGGGACGAGATTCAGATGACCATGACGGCTTACCAAACGCTTTATCAGAGCAGCATAGCTTTTGGGATGCGCAAGGCTTTGCAGGTGCTTTGTTGTATTTATCGACGGGCGATTGTATTTTTCTCGATGTCTAACGAACGAATTGTTCAAGGCCGAGCAAGGTAAGGAGGACTTGATAAACACCGCCGAAGAGCTGAAGTTGCAAAAAGCAGAACTGGAAAAGACAGTGGCCGAGCTTAGGCAGAGGTTCGATCAGACCGAGCGAAGGGCTACAGAGTTACGAGAAGCCGAGGAGAAAAAATACACGGAGGAGATACAATTTTTGAAAAAGACGAATCAGCAGTTGAAAGTAATGTGTGGCTTTCGATTAAATTTACTGTCATTGGTTTTTTTTTTTTTTTTTTTTTATATTGGTAACTCTTTGTTTTTTCTCTTTTAGACCCAGCTTGAAGGAATCATCGCGCCAAAGAAATAGCCAAGCTGGGTTGTACTTTTTTTATGTTTATTACTCTTTTGATATATATATGTTTTTTTTTTTTTTACATGTCAAGACATGTTTACACAAGCACCCATTGCAAGTCAGATTGGAGAAAATATCCACTGTTTCAATTTAATTGAGTTGGTGTTTGAAATAAAGAGGCCGTTCTTTTTTTTAAAATAAATGTATGTTTATCTGCATAAGTTTTTCTTATAAATACACATGTGTAGGATTACAAAATGTATAAATATTGCTTAGTAAAGAATACAGATTGTAATAAAGTCACATGCGTCCACTACAGAGTTATAAACACTGACGTTTCATGCGCTGATAGTATTATTATTATTATAATTTTTACAACAGAGAGAAAAAGGCGCATTTCATAATCAATTGTCAGTGATGGCGAGATGAGAGAATATATAAATATGTACGCGTAAAAACTTAGACAATTATCTTAACACAGCGAATAAAAGAATCTGCGCTTTACATTAACATTATGGTTTAATTATTATTATTATTCACGAATAAAGTTTATCTTATTTAACATAAACTCTGTCGGTATCCTTTTTTGAGATTCGGTTGACAGATTACGTGATAAACAATTAAACCTAATTTAATATTTATCCTAATTTAGATAAAACAAATATTTTTCAGAAAACCATCAATTTAATCAATTTTAATTTTATTCCTTATGTATAAATTAATACAAAGATATCACTGCGATCAGACCGTACATTGATATTTATTAAGTCAGTTGATGTAAAGGCATTTATCTTTTTACTCTGTTTTTGAAAAAAAAGAGCATAATAGTAGAAATTTCGTCGTAATCGATAAAAGTCGGAATGAACCCTTGAATTATTGGTCCCGCATTGTAGAAACGCAGATTAAACAAAAAAAATTTGTTTTCGCCAACCATTAGAATATTAGAAACATGGTTAAGTCGCTGTTTAATACAAGAAACAGTATTAAACATTTACTGATGATTTTCAAAAAAAATAAAAACTATGTAACGTCGTAGGTTTTTCAATCTACCTATCTAATGACTTCAAAAATAAGTAGTACCAAATTTCCTCACGTCAATAGATAAAAAAAAAAAACCTTGCACTCTAGCCATAATTTCATTATTTTTATATTTTTAAATACAGACATTATAGGCAACGCGGGTAGCATAAAATAAACATTTGTAAAATAAGCTGGCAGAAGAGGCAAAGCTTTACAAAAAAGCTAACTCTTTTACATTAAATTCTCCCATGCCCATAATTAGCGAAATAACTTTATATTTTACATAATACGTCTACTATCTCGCTTTCTATTTATAGTGTAATAATCTAATTGTTTTCATCGATCGTCGTCAATGAACGAGATTGTTGTATAATATATATTCATAATGAAAAGAGAACTCTTTTTCACAAGTGTGAGTGCATTTTCTTACGTGTCACATACATATATAAAATAAGATACAAGTCCCACGTGAACACATACATTGTACAAATATGTCATTAACGGGCAAAGGTGGGGAGAGGGCGGCGCGATAGCGAGGGCAGAAAGGAATGTTCACATCCGATTCACACTTATCACATGTATAAGAGACGTTGCATTTAAAAGTTCGAGTAGAAAATACTTTCGTTCGTGATTTTACGGCTGATAATATTGATACTACACATGCTTTTTTTCCTTTTTCAAGGATTAACATACACTCACTAAGATTGCAAATACTTAAATGGCAGAGTAGATGATGTGCATTTGAAAAAAAAAAAAAAAAAAAAAAAAAAAAACCAGTTGAGGGACGTAAAGAAACGCATGCACACAGCCCTTCAAGTTCGCGCAAAGTGGATATAATAATTACATCATATTATTTTGTTTAAAAAAAAAGGGATGCTTTCCCATTATTGAATTATGCTAAGACACACGTCGCTCTAATTCTCACTCTCACGCACTTCTACCATAAGTATAATTTAATTTCATATTTATATATATTTTTTTGTCGGACGTATGTATTTATAAGCTCTGTCGCAAAAGGCTATTACTTAAAGATTAATAACGTGGACAGAGTGACATTAAAAAAAAAAAAAAAAAAAAGAAGAATACTCTTCGAGGAGACGGATGTGGCTTTCCTTATATCGTTACTCGTGAGCTCTTTGGATCAATGTCGACCCTTCTTCGAGCGCTTACGTTTCTTCTTCTTGCCACCGTTGCTCGTAGCTGTGGACATATCGTTGTTCGCTCCAGTCGTTTCCTCCTCTTCCTCGTCGCCATTCTTCGACATTGAATAGATCGTCCCCGTGGTCTCTTTGATAGCTGCTTCGAAGGAGTTCTCTATGTTCTCAGTCGTGGGAGTTTCGACAGCCGAGCTCGTTTGTTCCTCGCTCTCGGATTCGCTGCCTTCGCCGGTAGCACCCGTTACCTCTTCAAAATGCTGCTGCTGCTCGTTCTCGGGATTGCTCAGTTCCAGAGATATGATCTTCTCGCGAAGAGTCTCCACCTGGATTCATGGCAAAAGATTAGTTTGGGTACGGGGGATTGCCCGAGGCTCTACAGTGCTTGGAGGCATCTATGTGACGTTTTTCAAGGATGCATTATTTTTTAATTAATTTCTAATTTTTAATCCTATCGTGATTTCAATAAAAAATAACTCAATATTTTTTCTATTTACTTACATAATTATCATTAAATAATTATTTTAGTATCTTACTTTATTGGAAGACAAACTACTACCAATTCTATCGTGATATTATCAGTTTTAGTGCATGCATCGGTAATTTTACTATTTACCATGACTTTGAGAATCAGATACGTAAAAGGGAATTTTCTAATAAATAATAATTTCATGATTTTGCAAAATTTCGCAACTTGAAAAATAAAAAAAAATCATTACGACTCATTTTTATTTAGTAATCATTTTCTCGAAACAACAAAAATAAAAAATACTTTTTGCCAATTTTATTACTAAACAACCTTAATCTAACGAATAAGATAAATTATTGGTGGTGAAGGTGCAAATGGTGATACACAAGACATTTACAATAAGCTATTGCGTGACAAAAAAAAATTTCAAGTCATGAAAAATGTATCGTCGTACCGCTGTAAATCGAGGAAGTTGTCAGTGTTTGTTGAAAACAACATACTTTGGTCAAGGCAGAGTGGCTTGCATTCCAGGCATAAATTTTGTAAGCTTGTAACCAACAGAGAAGGCAGAAAATTAGCACCACAGGAGTATCAGACACCAAGTGTTATAAATAGATTTAAATAAAAGTGTTTCATGCAGCAAGATTGTTTGGTTATTGTTATTATCAGTAAAGTGGTCACGTGTATATTATCCATTTGCATTGTGTAACTTGAGTTGCGTGTGCAGAGTTTGCGCATTTCATAATCAATTGTCAGTGATGGCGAGATGAGAGAATATATAAATATGTACGCGTAAAAACTTACGAGCAACATATTCATGTCAGATCGACGCTCTTACAGAAAATATCTTTATTTCATACTTTCGTCAAAGTTATTAAAATGTTGAGTAGTATCTAGTAAAAAAAAAAAAAAAAAAAAAAAAATGGACACGAAGCAATCAAAAATTTTCTGACAGAGCATACAAGTCTTGTTTGTTCGTCAGTCGCAATTAGATTGAAAGGCAATGAAAAATGCAACGAAACAGGGGTGCTTCAAGTGATGGAAATAATATCAACGAAGCCTTGCAGCGCACAAAATACGTGTGGATGTGGAAACGACACAAAAGTACATTCATGTAAATGTACATGGTGATGGAGTATGGTGAAAACACACACATATACAGAGACGGTGAAATTGTGAAAATAATAATCCATGGGTCCCCGTTTGAGTGAACAAACGGATTCCTTTGCATCGTTTTATTATATAGACTTATGATTAACATCAGCTTCGTGGCCAGGATCAAGAGGTACCTCGCGTTCGATCAGCTTCTCGACGTACTCGACGGTTCTAAATCGGCGCTCACCCGTCACCTCGTCGATGTACTCCTCGGTGCGCCTAGTCACCTTTTCGTCGACGATTTTCTCGGACTCGCGCACTGCTTTTGGGGGACCCAGCTTGCTACGCACGGCTAGCTTGGGTAAATCCGCGCTAGTCGGCCTGAACGTCGAAAACTGCGGTGTCGAAATGTACTTGTTGTTTATTTGTGCGCATGTGGATGATTCGACACAATTGTTTGTACCAAGATGAGAAATAATGATGAGAAAAACCGAACATTTGTTATTAACTTAGTAGCCCAGAGTCAACCACGACAGACAGTTTTGTTATTTTATTATCATTATTTATAGTTATTTTTGGTTCGTTTGACATTTCATTTGGGGTTTGTGTACCCATTTTCAATAGTTAGATAAACCACAATAAAAATGAGATGTTAGTACTGATATTGTGAAGTACGTGTTAAATTGTAAACTCCACACTCGCTATTGTTAATCGATCACCCGAGCAGACATTTTTTTTTTTAATTTTTCATACGGTTATATGATTGTAACGATGACTGCTATAATCAAACTGACTTACCTCTGGAACTTTCTCCACTTTCGGCGGGGCTTGCGGGGGTGGATCTTGATTGTCCACGCTATCCCTTGTAATATCTAATTTCGCTGGCATCATTTCGCTCATTTTTTTAATAACTAGCTGCGCTTGCAAAGCGTCCTTTGAAAAAAAAAAAAAAAGCAAGCAAACGATCAGAAATTATTTTAAACGTGACGCGCGACTGTGATTTTGATAAAAAGTAACTACGCGCGTACTTGTTCGAGAGATTTGAGACGAGCTTGCCTCCATGCTGCTCTCTTTTCCGCTTTCAGGGCTCTCTGTTCCGCCGGAGACAAGTTGTTTTCATCGTCCTCGTCGGAAAGTAGCAAGCCCTAAAAATTGTATTAAACAATCGTGATTCCCGTCGTATCAACAAAGTACAACAAATAAAGTAAAATGGACAAAGGGGCGCACCTCTTGGATCATTTTTTCTTTCAATCGTCTCTCTGCTTTTGCGGTTCTCACTATGCTGGGTACGTTTTGGAGGATCGGTATTGCCGTTCGTGAACTCAATCGGCTACTGCAATGGAATTGTGGAAAAAGACAAAAATGTACTTTTGGAACTTAATTGTAATAATCGTCCAAAAAAAAATCTACCACGTACTTTGGTCTCCTACTGTCTTGTTCTTCAACGTGGTCATCGTCCTCCAACCCTTCGTTCTCGTCGATTTGCGCCCACGATTTGAGCTCGTCCCTCGTAAGCGTCGCTATTTTCTTTTCCTCCTCCTGCTTTAACTTTTCAACTTCGTCTTGGCTCAAGAAGCTAAATACTTTTTCTGTGCACACATTACACAGAGTTAATGGTATACGTATACGGCGCGAGTACTTGATTATACGGTAATTGAATCAATCATACCTGGTTTGGGGGATGGTTTCAGATGTTCCTCCATGGCGTTCTCGAACAACCGTTTCCTGTCACTTACCGACAGTTTGGCCGGGGCCGGCGTAGGGGACGGAGTGGACGCGGGCTATTTGTACAAATTTTCGTTACAACTCATTGCAAATGAAATTCATCTTACAAATTATGAAAAATAATAATAATTGTGCTCTCAAACAATATTAACTTAAAAAATAAGATTGTTATTTTTTTTTATTAATGTATTAATTAATTAATTAATTAGTGCCAAAATCATCAAGTTAAGTAACAAAAATAAAATAATAATAATAATATACAGTATAATCAATGACTACGAGAAATGATTCCAAGTGCAAAGTACAAAGAAAAATAGTTAATCAACTGGTGAAAATTGCATCGGCTGATCCACACACTCGGTTATTGTCATGGTCACGTAAAAGCCGTGCATCAGTCGATTTTGTTAAAAGGAAAAAAAAAAGTAAAAGTAAAAGATCAATTAGCAAGACATATAATAATTGTTGTAAGAAAAAAAGAGCCATGCTCTATAGAGAGAGAGAGAGAGAGAGAGAGAGAGAGAGAGAGACAGAGAGACCCACCTCAACCTCTGTGAAAGTCGTAAAATCGGCAGAGCGTGCGATCTGCCGGTTGCGGGGAGGGCGGAGATCAGTGGTGGGAGGGCCGTAGGCGTCGTTGTCCGGGCAGCCCTCGCCGGCGCCCCGGACCTCGCCAACGATCGTCATGTCGGGACCGGTGAGGGGCGTGGGGGGTAACTTGAACCGGGACCTAGTGGACGAGGTAGCCGAGGACGGGGGTGAGGACATCAGGGCGCTCGCGGTGTCGACGTACGCCGGACTGACCCGGTAACCCGTAGGCTCCCGAGATAGGAGGAAACCTCCCGCGGAAACTCTCGGCGAGCTGTTACCGGTCGTCGCGACGTCGACGCTGCTCGCGGACCTGTTGTGGTAGGGCGAAGGCAGGCTGGCGAAGCTTATGCCGCGCTTCTTCTTCGGGGAGGGTAGCGTTTGCGTCGACGACTGCTGTTGTTTCTGGCCGATGACGTCTCTCGTCGCCAGGGCGGTCCTCCTGGGCTTGTCCGGGAACACGAAGACGCTGCTCTTGCTCGTAGGGGACGGCGAGGGTACGTCCACGGAGGTGCCCTCGTCCCTCCCGGGCGTGAGGCTCGGCTTTTGGTTGTCGCTGTTGCGCTGCTCGTTTGCGCGCGGTTTCGAGCCAACGGAGGTTTTTTGCGAGTACGTGTGCGTTTTCGCGTCCAGAAAGTTTATTCGACGAGAGAGAAAGAGAGAGGCAGAAAGAAAGAAGAAAAAAAAAATGAGAAAAATAGATTCATCGAGATGAGATTGGATGGAGATGTAGTGTTTCATGGTGTTTACGTGTTTGAGGATTGTGAGGCTGTGAGCGCATATTTGTTGCACAATACTAACACAACGCGCACATGTCAAACGAAGCGGCTCTTTTTACTATTGTCTGTTACCGGATGGCAATTACAATTAGTTATTGTTTATGGTGGTTTAAATAAATATCGTTGCCATCTCGGTGCTGTACTTTTTAAATCTGAATCAGTGAAGCTATATTGAATTTACTGTACCAGCCAGTCACTGAATGAGTAGTTTAATTTTTACCGATTCAGTTTTATAAAGCACATATGTCATGTAAAATCATAATAATGAGTAACTAAAAAGCCGGCTAAGAAAAAGAATAAAAGGAAAAAAAAAAAAAAATTAACAAAAACGCTATTTGGCTCTCTATGACTAATTTAATAAAGTGCGCATAAACAATACTCGGCAGGTACAATTATACAAGGCGAATCTAACTGCTGCGGTTTGTTTGAAAATCAGAATAATTTTTATTTCCAACGCTACAGTCCATACAAAATCTACACGAGAGTTCAAACTTAAGGTGTACGATTGGATTTGCTTGTGTTTTTTTTTTTTTTCATTACCGTTATGATAGTAACTATGTGTATATGTTTTTTTCTTACGGCGTGACTTTTTTTTTTAATTAATTTTTTTTTTCTTCTATGTGACGTTGGTTCATATTAAAGATGATTTATTTGTTTATTTATTTATTGCTTTCCCAAAAATGCGCGTGTGCGTCTATTCTCAGTTTTGTTGATTGATGTCAGCTTCATTGTAAAATTCGCATAATTTTTTTTTTTTTTTTCATATACCTTATTATTTATGCAACATATCATCGTCAATAACACGTTTTCATATATCTGATGTGTTTATATACACTAAATTTTTTAAATACCTTGTATTCCATAATTTTTTTTTTTTTTTTCAATTTAACTTTTTCAAAATATCTTTCCCTCACATGATTCATATACGACAGCGTAAGGAACCCACTTTATTTTTCATAATCATCACATCTCTGTGTAGCACAACAAACAATGCATGTCGTCGTCTGGGGAGATTCATAAGCCGAAATATAGCACCTCGATCCTCCCAGGCGATGATATGCAAATGTAACACCGAGGCCCAAGTGCGAAAAGTAAAAAAAAAAAAAAGAAATCGAAGAAATTTTTCTTTTTGGATTTTATCTTTCTCATTATTTACGAGCATTGCGGAAGAATAATTTGCTTCCGTTTGGGCGAGACATTTGTCAGACCTCGGTTTCGAAGCATCGTTTTTTTTTTTTTATTGCATTTTGTTTGCTTCTTAAAAAACTATAAATGGAACTTGCACGAACGTGATGCATTGATTTGTCCTTTTTCTTAAACCAACGCTGCTCGATCCTTCGGAAGAAAATTCGGAGATAAATATCCATGATAATCTCGTCTTAACGATTTTGCGACTGGCGTCATATATATATATGTATATATTTTGATAGCTTTATAAACATCTGGTCCATTAGACTGTACGTCAACGTGTTTATATATTATATGTATAACATTTATAGAAAATTTATAGATCATAATTAATACACAGTGTACATTGATTTTTTTTCTCGTATTTTAGTTTTTTTTGTTTTTTTTTCTCTCATCGATATGAATAATCTTGATTCATCTGCAACGGAGAGTATTTGCGGCTTCAACAAAGATAAGAATACTCCGATTATCGTGCGATTATAGCGTCTCTGTAACATTTCATATATTTTTTTTTTTTTTTTTTCACTCGCGCTTAGGATAAAACATTGCACATTCAAAGATAAAATCAAGATGGTCGAAAAACACAGAGAGCGAGAGATCGCGGAGTCTTGCAAGAAAACGCGATCAGCGGTGATTGAAAGTTTGTGATTTATTTTATTATTTATTTATCGCTTTATTTTTGTCTCGCCATCGAAGCAATATTTCACAGAGCAGCATCACATGCTGTCGTCTGACATTGAATGATTTAGCTAAAATAAGCTTTTCAACCCTTTTACATTTCTACTCTATACGTGTTATTTTTAATGATGACACATGTGTGTGTACAGAACAAATAAAAAAAAATATATAGCAGCAATGATCGATAAAATATTTACCGTGAACAAAGTTTGAGCAGATAATTATTTAGACGCAAAAGGGTCGAATTCAATGTTGCGTTCGATGATTCTAAGGCAACGGTGAAACTCCGCTGACCCGTTGTCTTTTTTTTTCCCCTACTGGTTTTTACTACATCCAGTTGACAAACACAAAAAATGAATCTTGTCAATCATCTTTTGCTACGCACTATACGCCTATCACAGAATAATTTTTCGAGAGTATCCTTTTTTTTTCTTTTGTAATATTTTTTCATTATTATTATTTTTACCATTCAAAAGTTGGTCGTTAGTCTTAATCAGTTTTAAGAGGAACAAAGTCACTTTGCGATCATAAAAATAAATCGAGCACTCACTCGGAAAATCAATATTCAACGGTAACATTAAATTTACTTTGTCAAGAATACGTAGCAATTTCACATCCCCGTTTACTTTGAGCTTGATTATTTTTTTTATTTAATAAAAAATACTTTGTCTCAATATAAATTGCTGCTTCACAGCGATATTGTCGGTACAGTGTCAAAAACATATTACGGTGTCAGCAAGATATTAAAGAAATCAACGATTGCATATTAATTATTTTTTACATTCAACCGCGATTTTGTAGTTTCGTAGAGGTCTATTCGCATTGACATACAAAATTTCTACAGCTTTTCTCCGAAAGTAGATCTTAGACGAGAACGAATGACAGATTTTCAGTGTAAATTTTGAAAGTAGACTTGTTCCCACTGCAATTGAGAAGAAATATAACACGAAAGGTACAACAACAAACGACGCGTGGAAATTTTGCGAGATCGCGAAGTTAACGACAAAAGTCGAGAAAAATTCATCAGTTTTTTTTTTTTTTTTTTTTTTCAACTCGCCTTCGAGTCCGACGATTTTTATACATGTGTACGTATACATTAAATGGCAGTACTTTGATAATAACAAGTGGAAAAGAGCGATGATTGTGGTGATAAACGACACATACATATTGTATAATACGCATCAAAGTCTCGGGAAGGAAGGAATTGTCGCCGTTGCGACAACAGATTTAAACTACGTGATATATTCATTGTTCGTTTCATTTAAAATTTAACGAGCACGAGCTGCGCCACGTGGAAGCGGCTCTTCGAGCGTTTCACTTGTGTTAGAGAGCAGCCAAGGTAGCACTATCGCCTTCCATCTTCTGTAAAACACGTGAGAACGATTTTCGTTCGCTTGGCTTTTTTTTTTTTTTTTTTTTTTTCAACACTTTCGTCACATGCGTCCACTACAGAGTTATAAACACTGACGTTTCATGCGCTGATAGTATTATTATTATTATAATTTTTACAACAGAGAGAAAAAGTTTTGACAAAAGAAAATAGATATACATACAGAAACCTAATAGAGAGTGAACTGGGGGTTCAACAACGTGAAGGCGCCAAAAACAGAGGGGGATGAAAATTTCAGACAAGTTTCATACACAAATGTTTGATCGCTTTGTACAGTGGCTTGACGGTCGATTACAAAACTTAATTTTGAAAACAATTTTTTTTTTTTTTTTCTGTCGAAGACGTCGTTAATCCATTCGCTACATCGGTAATATGTTTGAAATTCAATTGTAACGTTACATACGCATGTCGACTGCATATTTATTTCGTGAGAATTTTTTTTTATTTAATTTTTTTTAAGATAGTAAGCCGTGATAGAACTCTTGGATAGATTTTTGATGACTAGATAAGCTTTATTGGTAACTCTAATGTAGCAAATGGGTTAAGAAAACAAAAATGTCTAGACTATTTTGCTTCTAACTTTATCTCATGCCGTATGTAAATCAAAAATAGTAAAGTAAAAAAATCAATGATTCGTAAACGCAGGTTTGGCAACTAAAATACGCTAAAAAAATTTTTTATGGGGCGAAATTGGAACAAGGAAATAATTATTATTCATCACCATACATATGTTAAAAATAAATTAATAAAGCAGCTTCTAGAAAATTACGTCATTAATAGAGTTTATTAGACGATGTTAAAACTACCGAGTTGATAGGGATTGCATTTCTGAGCTATGTGAGAGTATCATGCATGGATAATCGTGCTCATGAGATTACGATTAATCACTAATTCTACCTAATGTGAGAAATTCAAGAAAACTTACCGGAGGAGTCTGTGGGGCTAGGGTGTGTTTACTCATAACGATGGTCGTCGTTTTCAAATCTTTCGATCCACCTGGAGATTTCGGAGGTATGGGTGTGATGGAATCGATTGGACTGTTTGGTTTATTGACTAATGATTCTGCTGCCCTCACAACGTCCAGGACCTTGAAGAAAATCATTGCTTAGTAACGCTCACTTTATTGTTGAAATACAAAATTTTTGCAAAACTAAATAGTAACCTTTTCAGGAGTTGTTTTCTCTCTGTGCTCGAGTAGCGCTCGCTCTCGTTCCTCCTGCTCCCAAGCAACCAGTTCCGCTTTCATCTCTTGCTCCTGTCGCAAAGTTGCTGCTTCTTCGTCGTCTCGATCGAGACTAGATACACTTTGCGACAGAGACTTTGAATCGTCGACCGGTGCTGCGTCCTTTGACTCCTTTGATGATGTCTTCGATTCCCTCGATTCTTTAGACTCCCGACCCGAAATGGACAGAGCTTGCTCGATCTCGCTCTTATCGTAGCCTTTACACACGACGAGTACGATTGTGTTACCGCAGCTCCTCAAAATATTCACGGCCTCCTGGTGAGTAGCACCCAACAGTGATGTGCCATTTACTTCCAATAACCGCATTCCGACCTACGGTAAATTACATTTTTTTTTATTATAAAAAATCATTTGTGGCTGGATAAATGATGTGCACTTTGAAAACAGTACCTTTAATCTAGCGTCGCGTTTAGCTGCGCCGCCGGAATTAATTTTCGAAATAAAGACACCCTCGTCAGTGGCATCGAGAGGATTACCTCTTTGACCCTTCAAACCACCCTTGATATGCATACCCAATTTTTCTCCAGGCTCCTTGATTATTTTGAGTTCCTAAAAAAATTAATATAACGTTGTAACTCGCTCCAACAATCGTACGTAAAGTAATAACATGAAAAATCGATATTTTTATATTAAAAATTCAATCTCACGAAAATAATTTCGTATATATTATTATAAATATGTTGTGTGCAAACTAAATATTCGAAGTGCAAGTCAATACAAGAAACTACATTTTATTAAATATATTTAACAACAAATAAAGACTGTGTGGTGCATTTGGAAGCAATTAAAAAGCGTCAGCAGTCAAAGTTTGAGGAAAGACGAGACAGTTCACGAGAGGGATTTTTTTACAGGGGTCTTACTTCTTCAGAGTACTTACTGTCACAGGGATGTACTCTATATCGACCAGCTTGTGAAATTAAATGGTACGCAGTTGCATTAGGTAATCGAGCCGTTTAAATACAAACAATAATCGATTAGTGATGAGAAACTTTAAAGATTTGTAGTAATTCTAAAATTATATTAAAAATAAAAAAAAAGTAACTACTAATGAGAACGCATTACTTTAGAATTTTAAAAGACCGTAGTGCTACTGCTATACCAACTTGAAAGATTCTATGCCTGTAGCAGAGAGGTAAATAATGGTATTTGTCTAGTCTAAATATTTTTTATAGAGAAAAGCGAGTTATTAACGAATCTCTAATAAAGCCACATGCAACTTGTGAAATATTTATGTATATGTATATATTTTTTTTTTTCGATAAAGCAAACAAAGTTTTTGAGAAACTTTTCTTATTCGTGTAAATTTTGTTAATGCATCTGTGCTTTGCGTCAAGCTAGTTACAGACGAGCTGCAGAGTGATTAAATGCTTTAAAATCTCTACAAGAGTAATAATACACGATATAAATGTACAAAAATATATACCTGATAGTTTTCTGGCAATGGATCGTGCTGAACAGTTAAAACTATTTTATCTCCTGGTCGAAGTAATTCCATCACAGCCTCTTGGTGTGTTGCTTTGGTTATATCTGTTCCATTGACCTTTAATATTCTATCACCCATTCGCAGTTTGCCAGACTTGGCAGCTATTCCACCAGGTACCACCTACAATTCATACTTTCGTGAGTACGTACACGAGGAATAGTAAAGGGTTTTCAAAAATGAAGCGTAAGATTTGTTTTTTTACATGAGATATAAAGATTCCTGGTTCCTTGGCTCCAAATGGCGTGCAAGAATGATCTGTGCCACCAATAATGCTAAAGCCGAGGGAGCCTTCCTTTATCAGAATAACATCCTAAACATCGATTATTGTAATTAATAAGTGCTCGATGGGAGTAAAAAAACCAAGTGATAATACTGAATACATTTTGCATAAGAGACTCGTGTGACTCATGACTATCACGAGTCGAGAAATAACAATATTAATTAAGCAATTATCAAGAAAAACAATGGTGGCCAGTAAGGACAGGACACGGTGGTTGTGGACAAGTGGACAAATACACAGATATACATAGAACTATTTACGGTTTGTTTTTGCATCTACAGTAAATAACAACAAAGACAACAACAATGAAAACGTTCCGCTACTCTTTTACAACTAATTAATATGTACAATTATTATTTGCTACAAGCGACAATTTGCAGTGATTGTAAAAAAATTACCTTCCGAAACTCGCTTTAACGGCTTCATAACAAACATAATACGTAGAAAAATTATATAGTAGAGTGCTTTTGAAAGAGTGCGATAGAAGAAGCTTGTGAATTTTTCATATTTAATTATTGATGAGGATCGTTTGAAAATTCAAGTGGTCAATTTATCTTTGTTAAGAGTGCTCCCGTTCGAGTCAAACAAAAAAAAAACCTTATTTTTTACTATAAAAAGCTTACCAATAAGGTAAGAGAAATAAAAATATTGTGGTATTTTCGACTTTTGGAGCACTTTTAACGCCTCGTTCCTCTGTTTGGAGAAAAAAAACGTATGTACAAAATAATGGAGGAAGCGATTTGCAGATGTGTGTTTTGTAATATGTATATAAGTTACGGAGAACCAACAAGGGCGGATGGGCAGGCGGGCACGTACCTCGATAATCAACGGCCTCTTAAGCTGGTTCTCGGTGACGCGCGTCACGACTGTCTCCGTGAGCGTGCTCTTTGTGATGGTTTCCGTAACTTTACCAATAGTCTCGGGCGCCGGTGGAAAATTAAGATCCCCGGGCAGGCCGTCCGGCTGCTTGATCGTCACGACGACGGTGGGCCCCTTTTGGGAGGAGTCTGGCGAGGGCGAGGAATTTGACGGGGGTCGGAGGAAGTGAGCGGGGATCATGGCCTGAAATTCCTCGTTGGTGATTGGCTTCGGTACCTGAATGTCCTCTTGATGATGCTGCTGCGCGTCCGGTGTTGCGGAACCCCTCGACTTGTCTTCGACGACGGGCGTGGGCGTGGGGGTGGTCGTGGGCGTCGAAATCGGCGTCGGTCTCGTTGTCGTCGCGGAAGTCGTCATCGTCATCGCGCCACCGGCAGCTGTGGGAGACGGAGTCGGAGGTGGCTGCGACGTCGGTCTTTGTAGCGTGTGGTGCTGCTGTTGACTGATACTCTGTCTGGGCGCGGGCTGAGGATGGACGGTCGATGGTACCGGGCTCGTAGACTTTTTGGCCTCGTCGATGCCATTCATCTTGGCGACACCGTTGACCGGCGACGGGGCCACGGGGGGCTCGATTTTCTGGGATGCTGGGCTTTTGGAGGTGGGACTGGCGGAGAGTATTTTGTCGGCGTCGATGGAACGCCGGTAGCCGGCGTAACCAGGGCGATTGACCATGTAGCTGTTTGCGCTGTAGAGACCGGTGTAGGGCTTGGGCGTGCCGATGACGAAGGGAGATTTTTCAGAAGTCACGAGGTTCGCAGGATTCGACTGCGACAGGGGAACCTCGCGCTCAAACAACAATCTGACGAACCTGTCGTGTCCTGTCAGCAGAGTCACGGCCTGGTCGTGTCGCGCATCCAACACTTCCACGCCATTGATCTGTATCAAATAAAATATAAATAATTGCGTTAATGTTCAATCAACACGATATTCCAGTAGCGTATATTTTTATTTAAAAAATCGAAACTCACAGAGACGACTTTGTCACCGACGCACAGCTTGCCATCCCTATGAGCAGCACCTCCTTCGGTGATCCTGGATATGTAAATAGCATCGCTGTTGGGCTTGAACATTGGTGAACCCTTGCCTCCAGCGATACTGAAGCCTAATCCATTTTGATCTCTTATGAGAGTCGTGTGAAGTAAAACGGGTACCAGAGGGTCGTCCGCACTTAATTTGACACCCGTTAGTGGTTCCGGTATTTTTTTCTGCAAATGAAAAACAAGCTCGCGTAAGAACAAGCAGTTTGAGCAGCGAGAGCTGGCAGTATACGTATATTTGTGCTCTATGACTTATTGAATTGATATTATCAACAACCTTGGTCGTTTCATCGGTTTCGCCGTTCTCGAGATTATGGGAAAGCGTCGAGGATACGTAAGATGCCGCGCTGGGTGCTCGACTAATACTCATACTCGAGCTCATCGAGTCTTTTCTGAGTGACATCTGGATATTCAAACGTACATTATATCGTTAACGCCATCTCGACCAATGAATTTTTTAAAATAAATTACAGAAAAGCTTGATCTACGCTCGTTTACTTACTTCGTAACAACATGCGTTTTTAAATTAATCAAAAAGCGTTAGCAATTAAAATGATGCTCGTTACAAAATAACGTTCACTTTTTCTACACGTATAATCGGGCAATGATCGCATGACATATGACCTCGCCCAACACGTTCACACAAATTTGAAAGTCGTTAAAGAAATTAAATATCAAAACAACCAAACTACCGCTACGCCTCGAACAAAATGACCTAGATAGTAATAACAATGATGATGAAGATGATAAAAACCAATAGTGTCGTATATCCATATGATGATATGTAAAGTAAAAGCGTTTCCAACCAATAGATGCAGCCTTAAAGTTCAAAACCAACAGAGTACGAGATACGAGACAGGACTACTACATGACGCAACGACGATGACGATGATGGTGTTATAGTCTTACCTGTTCCGACGGCGTCTTAACTTTTTTTTCCGTTTCCCTCTGAATGACCAAAACGAGCACTCGGCCGCACGCCTTCAGAATCTCAACGGCGTCGTAGTGATCGACATGCTCGACCGATATCCCGTTCACGGAGATCACCTTGTCACCCATCCTCAAACCCGCTAGTTGTGAAGGTCCACCTGTTTGAAAAAAAAAAAAAAAAAAAAAACCCATCATTGAATGCATGATTCATTGTACACACACGCGCGCGCAGAGCAAAAGTGGCTACCGACCTTCCGTCACCTTCGAGATGAAAATACCATCGTCGTCGCCCTTGAAAGGCGTCGAGCCGATACCCCCGGCTATCGACAAACCCAATCCCCCGGTTGTCCGCTCGATCGTGATCTCGTACTGCTCCTCGTACGGCTCCGTATCCGTCAGCGTACCTGTTTCAACAAAAATTCCAACACGATTAATTACACTAGTTGCGCACAGTGTATTCCTCCATCAACGGGTTATCGCGTATTCGGGGGGATGGAAAAAAAATGGGTAAACTATCGGTAAACGTACTCATGGGCCGCCACCGCCGCGGTTTTGTCCTCTTGTCTTCATTTCTGACGTACACCCTCCAAACCTTCGGCATCTTTTTATTATTTTTTTTTTGCACGCACCTTACGTTTTTGGACGTATACTTGCGCGAATGATCGCCGACAGACTGCAGTGACTAACGATACATCGCAAAAAAAAAAAAAAAAAAAAAAAGAGAGAGAGAAGGGGCACCTACACGCGCATATGTTCCGTATCTTCAATGTTCGGGAGAATCTTGCCAAGGCGATAAAACGCGACGCCGAGAGATGTTATCTTATCGGCAAAGTATCTGTACCCCCCCCCCCTTCTTGTTTTGTCGCGCCTACCAGGTGATACGCATGTATTTTACACCGAAAAGCCTATATACGCATATATGGTACGAGAGCGCGTTCCACTTTAAACGCGTGTTGTTGCGCAAAATGTTAGTTAGGGACAAAAGGTAGACTATGGGTGTATTTTCGGGCGGACAATTATGGTTGATTAGGTACAATACAGCGAGTTTAGGTTTTTCTAGCCATGCAAGCGAGGGAGTTTGGAGGTTTCGATTGGTTTTTACTGTCGCGTTCGACGGTGCTTTTACGATCGGATAGTATGCGCTTGTGTGGACGTTGCGATGTCTTTTCTATTTTTTAAACACGTGTTTTATTGTATCGAAAACAAACGGAAAGTAGTGCGAGGACGAGAGAAAAACACAAAACGGGTATCTTTTTTTTTTTTTATTGTTTGCATTAATTTGACCGTTATGATCTCGCGATTATTTTAATCGCTCGGTGAGAAATTGTTCGGAGGGAGAAGATAACAACACTTACTGTGGCCATCGACGATTTCAGTGTCGGAGTAAGTCGAGTAGGTGGTCGAACCTGGTGCCGTTCCTGGTGTCGGTGTGGGAGCCACCGAAGCTGGCGTTCCTTCTTCGTTCTTTTTCATCAACGCCTGTGAACAATTAAGGTAGCCTTTCGTCTACTTTTCTTCTTCTAGGTTTGTACAGTTTTTTTTTTTTTTTTTTTTTTTTCCAAATAAATAAATTAATAATAATCGATCGATTATTTTTGGGTCTTAAACCATTAGGCGTATCGGTATGCAACACGTCCAAAGTATGGCTAAAGTGATTTTCTAAATGGTCGAAACCACTTCCGATACGCTTAATGGATACGCCTCTGTAAAAAGATGTATACGTTATTGTTTGTGATACATCGATGTCAAATAAAAGAAGATGAGACGGGGGAAAACAGAGAAAAGAAAAACAAGTTGACACTATGAACTTGACATATATCCAAGCTTTTTACTCGATTGAGCAAACCAAGTGTAGCCATTTAGCTTTGCGCATCAGCAAAATTAAGCTATCGCGTCTATATACGAGTGACGCGTACAAAAAAAGTATACAATATTCGAGCCACCTGAATGTTTGTACATACACATAGACACACCTTCGATGACAACATCGATGTACATGTTACGAAAGAAAAAAACAATAAACGAGTTAATTGACAAGTACACTTTGCGCTCAAGAAATATGTGGCATACATTTTTTTGTATACAATCATGTTACCATAGTTTTTGCGTAAAAAAAGCAAAGTTACATAAATATCTAAGTAGCTTAATGAAGCAGAAAATCGATTCATGCTTACAGATAAAAAAAAAAAAAATACGGTGTTATAATCCAAGCCAAACAATTTTGTCTAAAGCTATTATAATAATTAGACATCGCTATAAAAATCGCATGCTGCTTTGTGTTTTGCCTACTACTTTTATTCATGGACAAATTCATTTTAGCTGCAAGTATTAAACAGATTTAGGAGATGTTTTCATATGATGTTAGGACTACCACGCACATAAAAGCTGAGATAAAATAAATTGTTTCTCTCGACGAGTTAAATAACGAAATACGAAAAAAAAAAAAAAAAAAAAAAAAAAAAAAAAAAAAAAGAGAAACAATTGATAAAAGTATTGAAAACTTTGTTTTTGAACAAAATATGATGCATGTCATGTTAGATTGTTTAATAACATATGCGTTGAAAAATACATGATAACCACATGCAAGCTACAAATTAAATTCGAAAAATTAGTAATACGAAAAATTAAAAAAAAATTGTTTCCAGATCTACACTCACAACAACAACAACAAGAATAAAAAAATAAAAACAACAAGACCATGAACGCGAAGAAGCCAGCAGCGCATCGAGCTCTGATCAGTCCCACATTGCAAAAAGTTTGTCGCACAAGCTGAGCCATACAATTTATGAATCTCTTGGGCAAAAAAGTTTGTCAGCGCATACATAACAGAGCAAAACAAGAAGTACTTAGAAGAGTATACAAGTAGAAGAAGGAGATTTGAGCCCCAGGTCGCTCGAGCGAGTATTTATGTATTAACAGGAGGAGGATGAGGAGGAGGAAGATTATAGATGGGGAGAGGGTTGTTGTGGTGACGACGGACGGCAGCTAACCTGGGCGATGATGGAGGCAACCTTATCCTTGTCGAGGTTGGTGTGTACACGTTTGTTTTTCAGGTGGTGTGGCGTATCGCGTCGATGAAGCCGGTTCGTCTTGCCGGACTCGCCGTGCGCCTCGGCGACATCCGCGTCCAGTGCGAAATCGACGTGTCGCTCCCCCTCCTCGTCCTCATAATCCTCATCATCATCATCATCATCCACATCATCCTCCTCGTCCTCATCCTCTTCCTCCTCATCATCACCATCGCCATTATTATCATCATCATCATCGCTACTACGTATAGATCTAATCCGAGCAATGTACCCTCTACGAACCCCCTTCATCTTCTATACAATGTAGTTCCAACCTTGCTTTTTTTTTTTACAGCTTATTCACGCAGGATTATCTTATTTTTCGTAGCATCCAACTCTACTGTTCTCTTTTTTTTTCTATTTACATATACCGAGGTCTTTTTTGGTTCAGTTTTGTTTCATCCTTCAAGGAGTTGGATTTTTTAAATCGCTTGTTAATACTGTCAGACCAGAATAGACGTGTCGCTCAGGCGTTATTCAAAGCGGCTCTCAAACATGGGCATCTTTTCTTACTTTAAACTTTCCTTTTCTTTCTCTTTTTTCACTTACGTTAGGCATTTGTTCGATAATGGAAAATAATATCGCACAATTACATGCTCCTCAAAAGGATTCGTTTCATGTTTATCGACCTAGTAACGCAGGTCAAGGCTTTTCCCGATTATTGTGGTGCTTCGTAATATCTCCTTTGTTTGCCGTTCGCATCGGCTTGTAAAATGATCGTAAACTCTGAATATTTTTGCGCATGAAAACCCATCGCGATGAGCAACCATATGGTTTTATAAAAAGAAAAAGTTTACCGTGCCTCCTTTTCCATGCCAAGCAAATTAAAATTATTTACAACATTTTTAATGGTGAATTGGGTTAATTTGACCATAACTTTTTACGCACCAGTGCTGATGGATATATACGAAAGCAGGAATTGCTACTTTAAAGTAAGGATGTCGGTGCCCATGTTTGAAGGAAACAAAGTACTTTGCTTGAAAATTGCGTTGTGAGCGGGAGGAAAATTGTTTTTTTTTTTAGTATAACTAGCCAACGAAGCAGCCGCGATTTTGCGAGTAGGGATGGAAAAAAAAAAAAAAAAAAAAAAAAAAAAAAAAAAAAAAAAAAAAAAAAAAAAAAAAA